TTCCATTTTGCAGGATCTGCAGCACAAGTTCTGAAAATGCAGCCAACACCAGAATGGCCCAGGAGGTGAGCACGGGGCTCTGAAGCCAGGTGTGCCAGAGTTCCAGTCACAGCCCTCAACTCATCAGGTGGGTGACCCTGGGCCAGTTTCCTACCTCCTCTAAAATGTTTTCTTATCTGTATCTGAGAAAAACAATAGTACTTATTTGATAGAGCACTGTGAAGCTGAGCTGAGCTTACACATGGAAAGGGGTTAGCTCAGAGCCAGGCACATAGTAAATTCTCCATAAATCTTAGCTAATATTGTAGTCAAGCCTGAATAGGGACTTCAGGTTTCCTATAACCATAGTTAATCCTTAATTTCTTTTTTTTTTTTTTCCCTAAAGCACACATTTTATTAAAAATAATGTGTTTAAGTTTCAAACTAATCTAAGACCAATTAACTCTAGCTTCCAATTATAGAAATCTAAGACCAATTAACTCTAGCTTCCAATTATGGATTATGCATTATTTTAAAGCAGAGTATAGATTAGGCAGTAAACACTAATAAAGTAGCTCCAAACCCCATATCAGATCCATTCCAGGCAATCGAAGGAAACCACACAAATCCACACAGAATTTCATCAGATCAGAGGAGCATCTTAACATCTATCTTTCATTCATTTCTGACTTTACAAGTATTTTGTTTTTTAATGATTGTTTAGTTTCATAAATCCATTTCAGTTTCCTAAAGCCAAGCTGCTTGAATGAGCTGCTACCTTAAAACCTGCCCTTGGCTGGTATCATAATGTAAAAGTTACTTTTGCACAGTACTGGGGCTACTTCTAAGGAGTTTTGTCAGTAACCTTGGACTGACAGCCACAACACTGTTGACTACGAATTTCTCCTTTTCAAATTAAAGTGAAAGTCAGGAGAAACAACGTATTAAAACAGAAGTTGAGAAAATACTGTTGAATTGATAGGGCCGCTAGAAATCATCTAACTCAAATCCCTCAATTTACAAATGAGGCAAAAGATGTCCAAAAAGATGAAAAGCTTGCCTAAGGACACATTCTGAGCCTGCAGCAGAACAGGACTTGGGCCTCAATTCTCAGATTCAATTCTCAGTGCTCTTTCCTTTATTTCATGCTGCCCTGAGGCATGAACGTGACAGGGCACTCAAAACTGAGGCCAGAGCAAAATGCATGAGAAATATAACTGCATTTTGTAGGAGTGTATAAAGTCAAACCCCAGTCCGTTTTTAACAATTAGTTTTACTAACATTAACACCACTAAGAACACAAAAAAAGTAGAATTTTTTTTCAGTTCTGGGTGCTGAACTTTAAAAAGGATACAGAAAAACTAAACATCATTTTTAGGAAAGAAACTGAACCACTCTGAGCTGTGACTGCTAAGCCGGGAAAGAACTCTGGGTAACAAGGCTGTGGGATGGCCAGACAGAAGTTCCTACGGGACAGGACTAAAAGCAGGACCCCAGGACACAAACGGTTGGGATTAACAGGCAAAGACTTTTTGGTTGTAAAAATTATGGAGCTGTTGACATTTCCTATCATTGTCATAGAATGTGGCCACAGAAGACAGGCATAAGGGGTTATCACAAATGGAGACGCTGGGCCAAATGACCTTTAGGTCCCTTCTGGCCCGTGAGACGTTGTGTTTATCTGGTCACTGCGTATTCCTCCTTAAATTCCTGTTTATTTGACATACTTGCCTGAATGCTACAAAAACCTGTATGCACGCACAGGTTCCACCACAGCAAACAACATCTTTTCCCTCCAACTAGGATGCAAAAAAATGCATGTCTAACGTGGTTTTAGGTGTGCTTTGCTTTGAGGTGTGAGATACACACCACTCTGCAATCAATTTCTGCAGCTTTTTCCTCAAATAAAGATGTCAAAATTTAGGATTATAATTTTTTTTTTAAAGTCTTTTATTGTAGGCATATTTTTAGTTTGTATCAAATGCATCAAGATCAAAGTCTACAGCCTTTTCTTCCAATTAGAAACTTAAAATTCCAGGTTATTATTTTTTTAATTAAGTTAATCTCAGGTTTAGTTACTTCCTTTTAAATTGCCCGAGTGTTAGAAATATATTTACAAATTGTCTCTTTTTAACTTATTATAACAAATATATTTAAGTTTCTATTTAACAATTTTCAAACATGCAGAAAAGCCTATAAAATGGTAAAATGTCCCTTACATACTCATCACTACTCAACAATGAGTAACAATTTGCCTTATCTGCTTCCTCTATTTTTAGAGGGATTAAGACGCCTCCACGTCACCACTAAACATTTCAGTAGGCATCTCTAATAAAATTAGCAAATTTATTATAATTAATTAATAGTTCCTTAATGTCACCTAATACCGAGTCCATATTCAAAATGACAGGTACTGTATTGTTTGATTTGCTACACGGCTTTGAAATTTACGAGTCAGAAACAGAGGCTTTAAATTTTTTATGAGCTAGATGTGCAGTGAATAAGAGTTAATACAGTTTTTACAAATTGTGTTAGACATGCCTTTTCCTCCAAAATGTTTATAAAGCTTTTCCAACTTCCAGAAAAGTTGAAAAAAAAATCGTAACCTCTACTTGGTCCGGTTAACGTTTTGCCGTATTGTGTGCAGAAACAGATTTCATAATCACCTGTAAACAAAGTGAAGATTTAACACTTCACCCCTAAACACTTCAGTAATTTATGACATGTCATCTACACAATTAAAATATATAAATCTGTGTTTGCTTTTTAAATTTAATTTGGGCAACTATGTTTGTTAGACTGCAATACCTATTTTTTAGATAGTATGAACTGACTATAAGGATATTTTAAATTTATATGACTGCTTTCAATGATCTGAGAAGGATTTTTAAATGGTCAGACTAATATCAACATTTTCAATGGTATGACATTGAGAAAACATTTTTTAATGTTCTGACTTGGAAAGGTATTTTTAGTTGGGTTTAGAAATCTATTTTCAAAAAACTGTGAGTTAGCTAAATATATCTGTATATATCCTGACATATTTTTCAAACTGTATACTTTAGCTACCCATTTTTAATTATTTTGTTTAGCTTAAATATTTTTTTTTAAATTGCCTTAGAAAATAATTTTCTAAAGTGGTTTGATTCAGAGATGCACTTTTAAGAAGCTTCCAGTCTCAGCTACTAGGTTTTTAAACTGTCTGACTTAATGGTTAAAAAAACAAAAACAAAAAAAAACTCACGTTACCCAAAGGTTCAGGGTATTCTGAAACTTAATGATTAAAAATTGAAAAATAAACAGTATGTTTTTCAATCAATTAAAACTGATACCTTAGAAATCTTAATGAGTTTCAGCTGTTTTTGAGGCAGCACAAAATCAAGTCATTTCAGGAACATGCAGTTCTTATTTTACGTTACTCAAGTTCCACTGATGAATTGTATTCATCCAATTTCTACTCTATTTCTTGGCTGATTTCAGTATACTCTTTAAAATCAGCACTAGAATTAGCCCGTTTCTATGCTACCAGACATCTTGACATTTATTTCAATATAATGCCATTCCTTTCCCTTTATAAAAGTGGAAAAAAAAAAAAACAAAACCTTCAGCTTAACTGAAATCTCACACATGCCCTGTCCCTGTTTCTACACTTTTTTGACCTGAGTGTACATGCTTTTATTCCTGAAACCGCTCGCATGGCTTAAAATCACTTTTCTATGAGTGATATGGCCAAAGACATTTTCCACTTGTGACTTACAAAAAGGAAAAAGTGTCTTTGTAGACATGATAATCATGACATAAGGCATAATTTTTCTTAAGCATTTAGATAAAGTAATAAAGAAAAAAAATGACCTAGCAATATAGTCCCTAAGAGGTTAAATAAATGTGGGGTTTCCAAAATTGCCTATTTCAAGTATAATTAATCCTCAAGAATATGGTCCCGGGCTATTCCCCACCTGCTCCAACGCTGCTTCTATTCCCGCCCAGCCTGCCTGCAGCAGGTAGCCCGCACCACCACTGGTTCCCTAACTTCCCTTTGCAATTGAAGACATTACAGAGCTAACGAGCACTGTCTTGTATAGATCATCTAGACTCGCCCCTTATTTAACAGAGCAGTAAACTGAGGCTCACAAAGGGAAAATGAATAATAAAAAACAGTAGTTTTTCCAGGACCACCCTTTAAAAAAACGCTACTGCTAAGCTTTGGTTCTGGTTAATTTTAAAAAAGAAAGTGCTATTTTAGGGGGTTAATTTTCACATATCCCTGAGGCTTTTTTTAAAAAGTTCGAATGGAAAGGAAAGCTGAATTTCCTGTCTGGGAAATGGAAAGTGAAGAGGCTAGCACCTTGAGTCTCACAAACGCAAGCCCCCAGGAAAAACAGTGAAGCAATTATTCATAGGGAACATGGCCACACAGAGGGCTGCGAAGCCGTTAAAAGAAAACGGGCAGAAAACAAAACAAAACAAAACAAAACAAAACAAAACAACACAACTCCTTCCTCTTTAGGGGGAGGGAGTCGTTCAGTTGCAAGGATTTGGGTCTACGATCCCGCAACCCAGCTATTAAGACCAAACTGAGGCTCACTATTGGGGGGAGGGGAGCCTTAAACAAAACGAAACAAAAAGGCTTCAGAAAGCCTCAATGCTTCCCAATGTTAGCGTTAAAACATATGTAAATTACAGGCGGCCCGTCGCGCAGTGACGCCAAGGCGGGGGTTGCGGGGGGGTGGGGGTGCTGCGGAAGTGAGGAGAGGACCAGGCAGAGGTGGAGCTGCGCCTCGCCTCGTAGCACCGCTTCTTCCCCCTCCAGGGTTACAGATGCCCCCTGAGTCTAGCCAAGAGATCTTATTATTCTTACATTCCTTTTTTTTTTTTTTTTTTTTTAAACAGAGAGACAGACAGAGACAGACAGACAGGCAGAGCCGCAGTGCACACCGTGCGTGTGTCGGAGAGGCCGCCGGGAGACTCACCGCAGCAATGCTACGTGAATGCAGAGGGCTGGAGGTGGTGTGACTACTCACTTGCTCGGCTAACAGCTGCCGGTTTTGGATGGAATTATTCCGCAACAACAAGAAAGCGTCGGTTAAACGCCTGGTGGCCATGTCTCACCCTTTGTGACCCCCCTCTCAGGGGCCCCCAGCCCACTTAGTCCTGATTTATTCACTTTCTTTCTCTTGGCCCGCCGGCCCACCCTTCCACAGAAGCTTCTCGAGGCCTCAGGCCTCAAGCCAAAGAGGCGCAGCTTTGCGCTTCGCCAAAGCGCAAAGACCCCTCCCCAAATAACTACCTAGGCTTTCCAATTGTCTGACTCCCCCTACCCAGGGCCAGACTTCGATCTCTAAGCACTTGAATCCCCCCAATCCTTGAGTAGCGAGCCAACGTCCCAGAGACCCCACCCCAATCCAACCTTGGATCTACAAGCGTCTAACTCGCCAATCCGGCTCTGGACTGGGAGGCCCTGAAGCCCCCTACTCCCTGAGACCCCCGAAGGTCCTTGCTCTCTACCCCTAACTTGGCTCGTAAGCGTCTAGGCCGTGCCTTGAGGTCTGGCTGTGACTCAGTTTCCCGACCAGAGGCCTGGCCTAGGCCCTCTTTGGACAACCGGAGCAAGGCGTGGGCCCTGGACACCAGGGCGCCTGCAGCTCCCTTCTCGGGCCGGGCCTTGTCTGAGCCTGCTGAGGCTCTGCCCGACCTCCTGACCCCTTCCTTTCCTGGGCGGCCTGGTCCTCCACTGCCAGCACGCTGCCGGCCTGCAAGAGGACAGCAGGGCCTGCCTCCCCGGCCTTCTCACTCCTCTTCTCCGGCTCCCTCCATCCCCGGATCTGACTGCAGCTCAGCCCCAGGCCGTTTCCGTGCTGTGGTCCCGGGCTCTGGCGTCCCCCCGGCCCTCTTCCTGTCCGTCCCTCGCGAGTGCCCCCCTGCGACGCTCGGAAGCCCTGCTCGCAACGTTCCGGGCGCGGGAGCTCCCTGCCCCCTGCCCCAGGGCGCGGGAGTGCTCCGCCCTCTCGCGGGGTGCTCCTCGGACGCCCCATTTCGCCTTCCCCAACTGGGCCCAGACACTAGGAGTAGGCCAGCGAGCAGGCCCAAGCCTGGGGAGCGTGGCCCCCACGCTGCAAACCCTTGCCAGGGTTTTTGGCCCCCGCATTAGAGTGGAAGTTGTGCGGCAGGCAAATTTGGGCTCCCCTGGAGCCGAAGTTTTGGGCGCTGGGAGTTGGAGCGGGAGAGGAAAAGTTGGAGACGACTGCCTCTGCAGGCCGAGCACGCTCCACTGCAGGCGGCGGCGCTCGCTTTTTTTTTTTTTTTTTTTTAAACTCTGAAAAAAGATGTATCCGAAAAACAACCAGGAGAAAAAAAAAAAAAAAAAGAAGAAGAAGAAAAGAAAAAAAGGAAGCGAGAGCTCCAGGCAGCCTGGCCGCGCCGCCGCCGGCAGTCGGGGGGCGTCGGGGGCGTCCGCCCTCCCGGGCTGGCTTTCTGTAGGGGGCACTGCAGGGTCGTGGAATCTCAAGTGGAAAAGTTCCCCGAAAACTTTGACACCTCCCACCCCACGAACCCCCAAGAAAAACTCTGTTTCCTGCCTGCTCCCTGGCCCTGCGCCTTGCGCACCCCACCTTGCCGCCCCGGGCCAGGTCGGCGGGGTTCAGGCGGTGGCTCCGCGGGGCTGGGTCGAGCAGGGGCCTAGAAACAGGCGGCCGCTCCGCCACGGAAGCCCGAGCCCCGGGGCCTGGCCCAGCGCGCGGCCTGAACGGGTCGGGGGCGCAGAGCCGTGCGGGCCCCGGGCCTGTGCAGGGCGGGCTTCCCCTCCCCGGGCTCCGCCGTGGGGTTCCAACAAAGGACCGCGGCCCCAGAAGCGGCTCCCACGCGTCCTTTGTTTCCGCGTGGAACAAACTTGGCACACGTGTGTGTGTGCCGAGTGTTTCCCGGGTGCTGAGCACCTGCAAAGCCGAGCGGCGCCCTCCCGGGGAGACGCGGCTCGCCCGGAGGCTGCAGCACCCGTGGGGCGTCGGCGGGACCCCCGGCGGCCGGGGGAAGCGCTGGCGACCCCCTCTCCATGTGCTTTTTCTCGCACGGAGAATGTTCCCGCGCGTTCATTGTGCAACTAAAAAGGAATGTAAAATATGTCCATTGAGGCAAGTGAAACGCAAACAACGAAACCCACAGAAAATCGAGAGCCGCGAGCAGGGGCTGCGGGGTTCACGGCGAGGACCGGCTTTGGCTTCCGCGCTGCGCGGAGGGCAGGGCGCTCGCCCGGGGACGCCTCGCGGCGGTGGAAGGTTCGGGCGACAGGGGGCCCGGCCGCCGCGCGGGCTCGCAGACAGCGGCAGCCCCCCGGGCGGGCTGGAGCCTGCAGGGGCGCGGGGACGGCCCCTCCGAAGACACAGGCCTGGGGAGGGACGTTCTGGGAGCCCGCGTGCTTAGCGCAGCGCCCCGGGAAATATTCGCCCACAAGGACGAGTTGTGTCCTCGCACCACCGCAGCAGATCCCCGCGGCGAGCTCTGACCCCAGTCTCACCGCCAAGCCCCCTATCACCCTCCTGTCCCCACCCCGCTCCTCGCTTCAGGGGACAGGTATTTGTAAATAACAGCTGAGCTGGTCGTCGGGAGGAGAATCAGATTAGAAACATGGTCTCCACGCTGTTCTATCTCCCTAGCTCTCATCACCTCGCAAAGCAGGGGGACTTGTTTACTTTTCCTGCTGCTCTCCCCCAGGCTAGAACCTGATCTTCTTCCTACGCAGGGACCGTGTTTTATTCATCTTTGTACCCACTGCCATCTCATCTGGCTGGGAACAGGCTCGGGATAAACATTTTTTAAATATGTGCATGAGTGAATGAGAGACTCGAAATTGAATCCCCAACCTCTCTGACCTCCCTCCAGTGACTTTAAGCCTTTAGAGCCCTTATCTGTTAAGAAAGAAAAAAAAAAAAATGTGAGTTTTTCATAATCCTGGTAATCCGTGCCCTGTCTACCTCTCTAGGGTTATTGTGAAGATCAAATAAGATAAGTGAAAATGCTTTGTAAACTACCAGGTGCTGAACAAATGTTATATAGGATGGTTATTCATTCATTCCCTCCGTTCAGGAAGCTTAACAGAGTAATTCCTGGTCTTGTGTTTCAGCAGATGGTGGTCGCCTTTCCTGGTCAGTCTTAAATATTTATTACAGGACAATCTCATCCTTACATTTAGGAAATCAATCAAGCTTCCATTTCTTTGAGCCAAATGAACACTGCTTGCACACATAAATAATGGAAGAAAAATCCTCGTATTCCCAAAACAGCCACCCCAAGCAACCCAAGAGTCCAACAGCAGGGAGGTCATGAAAATCCAAGAAACTAGCATAGCAGCCCAAAGGTAGCACCGTGCAGCTATAACTAGGCTGTGTCTAGGTATGGGCTTGTGTGCCCGAAATAGTGTTAATGAAGAGGAAGCTCAGACAGGGCATGCACCCCTGGCTGCTGCCATGTCCGTGTTCTGCCTGACCCACACTGGAAGGGAGCTGGGAAGGATGCAAATCATTACATATGAATGTTCGTTGGCTGTTTTATTTTCCTGTCAAGTGGCTTAAGCTTGATTTTCTTTTCTTTTCTTCTTCTTCTTTTTTTTTTTTTTTTTTTTTTTTTTTTTGAGAAGGAGTTTTGCTCTTGGTGCTCAGGCTGGAGTGGAATGGAGCAATCTCGGCTCACTGCAACCTCCGCCTTCCAGGTTCAAGTGATTCTCCCGCCTCAGCCTTCCGAGTAGCTAGGATTACAGGTGCGCACCACCATTCCTGGCTAATTTTTTGTATTTTTAGTAGAGATGGGTTTTCATCATGTTGGCCAGGCTGGTCTCTAACTCTTAACCTCAGGTGATCTGCCTGCCTCGGCCTCCCAAAGTGCTGGGATTACAGGCGTGAGCCACTGCACCTGGCCATTTTTGTTTGTTTGTTTGTTTGGTTGGTTGGTTGTTTTTTTTTTTTTTTTTTAAGCATTCTGCCAAGGCCAAGTATGTGTTTCCCTGGAATTGAAATCCAGGTTGATGGTCTTACATTCTAAAAGCTTTCACTGTGTCTCATTCTTGGCCTGGGCGAGGATTCTGTAACACTCCCCGGGCTTGGCGAGGTTCACTGTTCTGTTTCTTGGGCTTCATACCCTTTCTAACATTTTGCCAACAAATCCAATAAGTCATTTTCGGGTACAAGTGTTTAATTGTTTTCTTGTCATCTTATTCAGTGCAGAAGGGAACCCCAATGAAGCCAAGCCATGGCTGGGGCAGAGGCAGTTTTTCAGGTACTGAGGGGGGATGGTTAGCACAACAGGCCAGCCATGGTGGCCTTTGGTGAAAACAATTTAAATAAGACAGGACTTGTGAAGCCCTCATAGGAGTTCAGCATAGAGTAAGTGCTCCACAAATGGGCAATGTCATTTATTACAACAGTAGTCTTGCTGTTGGAAAGCTCCTGTGGGCTCTGCTCTCCCTGGAAGGCATCATAAACTCCAAAGAGAATGGCATGGTATTGAGAACTGAACACTTGGAAATCTAAGCACATTTCCAAGATTCTTGTTCTGGAGCTTGGGAATCCAGATGTGTCTGCAGTGCATTCTCATGTGGAAGAAGGGGTTAAACAGTCTCAAAGACAGCTTTTAACATTGGCCTCTTACCTATAGAAAGACAGATGGTTGCTCATTTATCAAGCAGCAAAAGCCCCCAAGCCTAACTCATGTCTTGTCTGCACAGATCTGACATAACAGGCAGATTTGAGGCCAGGTTCAGGTGACAGGAGTTGTGTGTTCTGTGTCCTCAAATAGTTCCTCAAAACCTTGAGTATTTCCAACAACAGAAAATTCCCAATCTGGGTCTGTCTTCAGCTATGACGCCTCTTCTAAGAAGGAAGACTCCGGAGAGAGGTTAACAGTTTTGTTTCGTCTGGACTCCAGTAGCTTTTAATACAAGACTATTCAAGACAGTAGGCATTTCTAAAAATCTACCAGTGGCTGTGCCTATCTCTTGCCAGTCGCTGCGAAAAGAATGAAACAGAGCAAAACTCTTGCCTTCAGGGAATTTACAACTCTACTGTCTCTGCCCAAATTCTGGTTCTCATCATGCAGATTTTTCTAGCAGCCTGCTAACAACCACCCATCTCTTCCCTCCTCATCCTGCAGCTTCAGTGACCTTTCCAAAGCACAAATCTGATCGTGTCACTGCCCGACTGAGGCCATGAAACAGCTCCCTCGGGCCCACACCAGCCGATCTCAAATGATGCTCAGCAGAAAACAGGTGCTCTCTAAGTTGAACCAAGCTGGGCATCACTAATATTAACTAATGATGGT